TATATTTCCGAAACGTAAAATTTCCCTAAATTTTCCCATTTTTCAAGTTAAGCTGCCCACCGTTTATCAACGGAGTCACCGGCCGGGGTCATCTTTTACATGCTAATGGCCACGTCGATGGGTCATCACTTTGCGTGAACGGTCTAGCTATCAGAGGTCCGGCACGTGCCACGTGGCCACGTGTTTGAGTCGCGTACCTCCCAGATTGTCGTGTGTTTGCCGATTTGTGGCCTTATAGCACGTAAACAGCACCAGTCAAGAAGCCTGAAATAATGCAATCGGTGACGGGACAAGTCCTGATTTCACCACTGGTGCTCACGTGGCACACGTGCAAAATTGGGCACCTCCGTTGCGGATATATTTTATAGTGAAATATTCAAATGTACAAAACTTTGTCAGTTTAAGTCCGATTGGGCTAGAATTTGGTGGGTGGATGAATCGTTTAGCGACAGAAACGAGTGCGCCACGTTTGTTGCAGTGCGCCATGTTTGTCTCAAAGCGCCATTTTTGCCGCAAATTGCAGAAAATGCGTAACTTTGTCGAACATGCGACGATTAGGATGCGCTTTGATTGAGGGATGGCTGCTTAAACGGCAGATATGAATGCACCACATTTGCCGCACTGCGCCATATCTGTCTGAATGCGTCAGTGTTTGCGTTTTGCCTACGGCGGGCGTTTTTTGCGGCGGTGTTTGCGTTTTTTTTTGTGTTTGTGTTTGGCGGCGGGCGGCCGTTTTTGCATGTTTGCGGTGTTTGCGTTTGGCGGCGGGCGGCCGTTTTTTGCGGCGGTTTGCGGTTTGCGGCGGGCGTGCGTGCGATGTGGGCGTTTTTTTGCGGCGGGTTTTGCGTTTTTTGCGGTGTTTGTGTTTGGCGGCGGGCGTGCGGGCGTTGCGGGTGTTTTTGCGGTGTTTGCGTTTGGCGGCGGGCGGCCGTTTTTTTCGCGGCGGTTTGCGGCGGGCGGCCGTTTTTTGCGGCGTTTTTGTGGTTTGCGGCGGGCGGCCGTTTTTTGCGGCGTTTTGCGGTTGACGGCGGCCGGGCATTATTTGCGGTGTTGCGGTTTGCGGCGGGCGGCCGTTTTTTGCGGCGTTTCGCCGTTGGAGGCGGGCGATGCGGTTTCTTTTTGCGGCGACGGTGTTTGCGTTTTGCGGCGTTTGCGTTTTGCGGCGGACGGGCGGTTTTTGGCGGCGTTTTTTGCGTTTTTTTCTGCGGTTTTCGGCGAGCGGGCGATCGTTTTTTTTGCGGAATTGCGTTGGCGTTTTGGGCGTGCGTTTTGCGCGTTTTGCGGTTTTGCGCAGGCGGGCGGTTTTTCACAATTAAAGTCCCAACCTTCGGATCCGCAGTGCTGTTCGACAAGCGCTGCCCGGGCCTATGACCAGACGTAAACGTTGCAGGAAGAGATGACATTGACTCGTCCTCATACCTATATCTATTGCATCGACACCGGCTGCTCCCCCGGCTTTCCAGGGGGGTTAAAAATCAAAATTCAGTTAGGTATATCACTCGCGAAAACAGTGGCGCGAGCTTACTATGTAAGCAGCCGCGCCATGAGAAAGCTAATCAGCACTTCGAACATGTACGAGTAGGTAGTTAGGTAGGGGAAGCCGGGGTAACCCCGGGCGCGGGGGGAGCCCGGCCACTCCGTTTCCGGCTAAATTATTCATAATAAAATGCTTAAGTGTTTAAGTGTTTGTCCTTTCAGCGTGGCAGCTGAGGTAACGCCAACGTAGAAGTTAACGCTAACAAAAATTGTATACCTATTGTTAACCCGCGCCCCACTGGGGTCTGCGTATAACACGCCCTACTGGGGGGGGGGCTATTCATAGCCCCCCTCCTAACTCCGAAACTACTGGGCCGATCGTCAAAATTCAAACGGCGTCTGATAGCCCCGGAAAAACTGTCGAGCGAACCCTAATTTCATTGACCTCGAGGTCACCGATGACGTCACAGGTCAGGTCAAAGTAAAAATTATTAGCACTTTGGCTTGTTCACGTTTTGGGCTCTGGCCGCCGCCTTACAAGTCAGATCAGGCTCATTTTTGGATCACACACTCGGGAGCAGATGCTCTACAGGGTGTCCCATAAGTTCGTTCTCACCTTATATTTGCATGTAAAACAGAGTACATTGCGTTTTGATATGTTTATAATCCCTCAATGTGCTCCCCATTTCATAGGCAAACACATGAATACATGCTGCGACATGCCAACCGGCATGTTTGGCAGCATAGCAGGCTTGAAGTTAGCCCAGACTGACTTGGCATGGGCCGTGAGCTCCTCAATGCTGGAACACCGCTTCGCTTCGACGAGCCTCGATTTCAAGATTCCCAACACATTTTTATGAAATTTGGATCTGATGAGTTGCCTGGGATGTGATCTTGCCACAGACGCCTATCACAGTCTCCTGGCACTGCTTCTAAGCTTTGCTTGACCTGTGCACTGATGCACTGTCTTGCTTGAAGATGGGCCTACGACCTCCCGGATGCCATTTTCTCCTAAAAAAAATGTGGCCATACTTGCGGTTCGAGTTAAGCTAGAAAGCTGAAATTCTTCCTAGATCTTCTTGGAGAAGCATTCTGCGTCCCAAGACTGTTTCTGGAGTATCAATCGCAACGTGATCAGTGTCTGGACGCATATTACCCCACATTACCGTGACCCTCGCCTTTTGCATAGGAATAAAGCGGGATGACACAAAGGCCTTTTCCGTCGCCCATATGGGACCGTTTTGGGGTTTGGACGGGTGTTTTATCTCGAGCACGGACTAGGTAGTCCAGATGACCACATTGATGTCATCGGCCCTCCAGTTTTTTTAGCCTCGGGCATAACGAAACACATGCTTGGCCATTTTAAGACGTTTTTGACTGTTTTGAGCCCTCCGGTAAGTAGAGCTTAAGTCACCTTGAGTTAGGTACCCTGAAATGATACTCTTAGACAGCTGTTAATGCATCCTGAAAAGCATGTTTACCAACTTTCTAACGCTAAGACCTTTTTGACGGCCATTTTGGCGCCACACAGTTTTGGCCACATGGCTCACTCGTGAAAGCTCACAAAAAAGAGCATAAACTTGCAGCGATTGACTCCCGACAAATCATCGGCGTCACTTGTTGACTGTGCGTCCAGTTAGCGACAAACATTGGCTACATACTGGATGGCCTCAATCACCCTCAACCGTTGTGAATGGCCCAGTGCGGACTAAATACCGAGACGTACCCGTATTGGAGACCTCTATGTTGCGGCGTAAGCCGTCTCCACAGGAAGTGAACTCTCTGACAAAAAATATTTTGTCTAGACGAACTAGTTACCGTGGAGCACATTCACAGTTGCCATGGCAACCCCAAAAGCTCAGTTACAAAATAAATTAAGCGTGGCTTTAAATAAGAGAGCCTCTAAAAGAAAAATTTAGGTGAGAAGGAACTTATGGGACACCCTGTAGTTACCCTGAGGGTACCAAACTTGTAGTTTGATTTTCAGGTCAAGGTCAGGTCATCACAGGTCACGAAAATATTAAATCATGCGTCGGTCACGTGACACATGTTTTATGGTCCATTTAGGTCAGAGATTTCGAATTTGATGTCGTCTATGTCATTCGAGGTCATTTTGAGTCGAATTTAGCTTATGTTAGGTCACTTTCAGGTCAAAAAAGGTCAAATTTTGAAGTTAAAATTTTTCAACAAAAAAAGGTGTCTATTGGATGCAGTTTGAGCTCAGGAACACGATGGTGCTATTTATATTGGCGTATGATATCAAATACGTGCTGAAAAATTGATTTGAAAAATTAATAATTGTGAATTTTTTGCAACAATGCGTAAAACTTGGCCATTTTTGAAGATATTTAGCTAAAACTTGCTAGAGTTAGTCATGATAATGCGTTCTATCACATATATTCCGGTTTTTTTCGAAAAGTCAAAAACTTTTTTGAAAAAAAGCGCAAAAACATAAATTTTGGATATTATTATATAAAATTTTCAAAATTATCAAAATTTCGAAAATCCGAGATAGCAGTTTGATAGCGCAGTCTATTCTGAGTCCTCTCATGCAAAGAAATTGGATCTAGCTTAAAAACTGAGCTCTTGGGAGCGATTGCCGTGGTTCAATGTTTTGCGTCGAAATCGGCCGAACATGACGTCACTCTGACGTCATTTCCGGCCGACCTATAGTAGGTACGAATTTCAAATTTTGACACAAGGTGTCAAATTGATGCAGCCTAAGGTACTGAAAGTTTGGCGTTGATACGTCAAGCGGTTTGGAAGTTATTGCAGAAAAACGGGAGGGGGGCTATAAATAGCCTCCCCCCAGTGGGGCGCGGGTTAATGTTATAGAGCAGCCGGTTACTTACTAAAGTTAAAAGCTAAAAAGACCTAAATTTACTTTCAGCTGCCAAACTATTGCTTCCAAATAACGTCTCTAGGAACAGCGGAGATCCCAAAAAGTAAACAAAAGTAAAAATATAATTTCTTGAAAACCGGTGAATATTTTTCGGTGAAATTTGGTAGATACCTATTTGGTTTCGCTCTTTCTGAAGCGAGCGACATCATTCATCCAATTCATTAACTTTTTTGAAGGTGGGAGGGCCAGGCCTCTCGCGCTCTTTTCTTTTGTTTTTCTTTCCTCCTCCTCCTCCTCCTCCTCCTCCTCCTCCTCCTCCTCCTCCTCCTCCTCCTCCTCCTCCTCCTCCTCCTCTCTCTCTTTCTTAAAATCATAATTTCAATTGATAATGTGCAAAAGATGTTTGATTCGCTAGTTGTTCGTGTCGTTTGTTACAGGTAGTTCGTACCTACTAGTTACTACCTATCTTGTTTCAGCGAGGCGGGACGTTTCTGGAAGCCGGAGCTTTCGATGGCGAAATACACAGCAACACCCTCTACTTGGAACGTTTTCTGGTAGGAATAATTTAAAAATGCAGTGAATAACGCATTAAGGTAATACTTTTAATCGTTAATACACTGCGATTGCTTCAATGTTCAGTTAAAGAATTTGCCACACATTTTGCGAAGGTGATCCTTCATAGGAAGACAAGGTAAGATTCGGCACCTAATCTTTAACGAGCCAACACACGGTTTAACGAGCCAACACTAGCCAACACCATCTATGACGGTAACACGGTTAGTGTGCTACCGTCATAAATGTAATTTCTTAACCCGCGCCGGGCCGGTGCTCTGAGATTCCGCGCCGGGCCGGGGGGGGGGGGGTGTGTCTGAACACCCCTCTTCTAACTCGGCTCCTGGGCCACGTAGCGACACGCAGTAAGCGGCAATCGAAAGAACGTCCAAAATAAGGAGGAAAACACTTCAGTCATTTTTTGGGTCAGGTCAAAGGTCAGGTCACCAGAGGTCACCAAAGGTAAAATGTTGACTATTTCAACATTTTGGAAACTGCCAAAGGCTATCTCGGGAACCGATAGAGCTACAGCGCCGCGGAAAAGCGCATTCGATAGCCCTTTTACAGACCTTTGGGGCATTCCACGATAGATCGACCAAAAAAAAACTTAAAATTTACACCCGCATATTTTATTTTTTGCTTAAAATTGGTCTAATGGGTTGTGATGGGCGGGGAACCCAGCTGTGGCAAGGATTTTTTTCTTCGAACAACGGTTTCCGAGATATAGCCTCGGGCAGTTCCTGGAGGTCACGCTGCAACCCTATGTTTGGCGGCTTATAACTCAGAAACTATTGGTTTTCTATGGTAAAAACTTGATGTGGTTCAACTCGCAATCAACCAACAAACGTTTTGCCTATCTCGGATTTTCGAATTTTGAAAATTTTGATCACGTGACATCTTGACCTTTTTTTCGAAGAGTGACCTTGATATTTTCCCAACGGAAAGTCGCAATTTTGTCTGATGACGATTAAAGCCTTATCAATTTCCATTCATATGCGATAATATAAAAGTGGCTTTCGGCCTGCGTTGACCTCAGTTCAGGTCATTTTTATGACCTTCCCATGATTACGAGCGGGAGCGACAGCGAGATCTCGAGAACAAAGCAAGATAGCGACAAGCGGTAAACGGCACAGGGTACACATGGATAAGGTCTACAATTTTTACTCAGGTCATTTTCAGGTCAGGTCAAAGATGACGTCACAGGGGTAAAAAGAAAGTCTAAATGGCGGCACTACATATATATGAAGTTTTTCTCGAATAACTTTCAAAGTATTCCAGCTAGGAACAAACTAATAGCACCATCGTGATCCTCTCGTCGATCCGCATCGAAACATGTGTATGTTGACCTCGAAAGGTCAAGGTCAAAAGTTGACCTTAGGTCACGTGACCTTAAGGTCATCATATATAGACATACAAATAAAAAATGAGACTTTTTTGCTTGCGTTATTTCTCCGCATGAAAAGCTCGTGCAACCGCAAATCTTGCATGTGTGGATGCGCGTGATTGTTGTTTTTTATGATATGAAATTAAAAAAAATATCAGTGCAGCCATGCCACCCTTTGATGCAATATCATGTGGCCTACGTCGAAAGGTCGTTGGACAATTCTATATGGAGAACTGGAGTAAGGGCAAAGCTTTTACATACAAACACTTCAAAAACATGCACGTTCCTAAATCAACACTATACAGGATCATGCGACAGTGTGATGAAGGTGTGCCATTGTCGCGGAAGAGCGGGAATGGTCGTCCTGCAAAGAAAATGCCCCCTGCAAAATGTCAACGCCTCCAGACAGACATGAAGGAAAAAATAGGGGCGTCACTGCCACGTGCCGCAAGAAAATACGGTATCAGCCAGCAATATGTGTCATGGATACTCAAGGGTAAAACATCACTAAAGTACCGAAAGCGACAGACCGTTCCGGACGTTACTGAAAAGCAGAAAAAACGCCAGAAGACGGCTTGCACTATCCTTCGAAAGACTGCAATGAAACCTAGTGGAAAAACGGTTATTATCATGGACGATGAGACGTATTTTTCATTAAAAAACAACAGCTGCGTCGCCAATAAGGGCTTCTATACAAGCGATAAGAAGAACACGCCCTCCGCAGTCCGGTTTGCGAAGAAAGGCAAGTTCCCCAAAAAAGTGATGCTCTGGCTGGCCATCTCAAGCGAAGGAATGAGTGAACCAGTATTCGTAGAAGGAAATGCCATGAACGGAGATTTCTACGAAAAGAACTGCATACCTATTGTAAAGAAGTTCATAACAACCCACCATCGTGGAAAAAAGGTCATATTTTGGCCTGACCTCGCCACGGCTCACTATAAGACGTCAGTCACCAAGAAGCTGAAGGAGCTCAAAATTCCAACGGTTGCACGTGCCCATAACCCACCAGCAGCGCCTCAGATCCGGCCAATTGAGAGGCTCTGGAGCCACCTGAAGCAGGCTGTGTACGAAGGCGACTGGGAGGCTGAGACAGCAGGTGCCCTGAAGCGACGGATCCGCGCCAAGCTGAAGAAGCTCGACCTGAACATCGTCCAGAACCTCATGAGAGGTGTCAAGACCAAGGTGCGTCGCGTCTCGGACGGCGGTCACGAAACGCTTCTTCGTCTCTGAGGCTGACACGCAAAGCTTCGGTGCTTCGAACAAGGCTATTACGGATGAGACACGGCTTCAGAATGCTGAAATATACGCTTTTTAAAAAAGTCTCATTTTTTATTTGTAACCCGTTATATCATTCGATGGGCCCTGACGAGCTGAACACAATGAGCCTATCCGCGCGGCTGTATCTCAAACCTGAAAGGAGTTATTAGCAAAAAACATTTGGTGACCTTTAATGACGTCACATGACCCAAGAGCAACGTCACAGTTGACCAAGAGCAAAAAAGGTCTGAAGGTAGTCAAAGTTAGTCGCTTATGGAGTCACTTCTGGTATATTAGGCAATTCCGACGCGTTTTAGTGTAAAAATAACTAAGGGAGCTGATTTTCCCCAATTGACTTATAATGGGGTGGTCAAGAAATTGACCTGACCTCAGGTTATCGGTATCGAAATTCAAAACGAACTGGCGCTAGGCGAAAGCAAACGGATTGGTGCCTATTCTACGTCTCTTTCTTTATTAGATCAAAAGGTACAGCCAAAACTATTTTGACTTCCTTTTTACCCCTGTGACGTCATCTTTGACCTGACCTGAAAATGACCTCAGTAAAAATTGTAGACCTTATCCGTGTGAATCCTGTATCGTTTACCACTTGTCGCTACCTTGCTTTAGTCTCGAGATCTCGCTGTCGTTCCCGCTCGTAATAATGGACAGGTCATAAAAATGACCTGATCTCAGGTCAATGCAGGCCGAAAGCCACTTTTTTATTGTCGCATATGAATGACAATTGATAAGGCTTTAATCGTCATCAGACAAAATTGCGACTTTCAGTTGGGAAAATATCAAGGTCACTCTTCGAAAAAAGATGAAGATGTCACGTGATCAAAATTTTCAAAAATCGAAAATCCGAGATAGCCAAAACGTTTGCTGGTTGATTGCAAGTTGAACCATAAGAAGTTTTTACCATTGAAAACCAATAGTTTCTGAGTTATAAGCCGCCAAACATAGGGTTGCAGCGTGACCTCCAGGAATTGCCTGAGGCTATATCTCGGAAACCGGTGTTCGAAGAAAAAATCCTTGGCACAGCTGGCTTCCCCGCGCATAACAACCCATTAGACCAATTTTAAGCAAAAAATAAAATATGAGGGTGTACGGCTTTGGTCGATCTATCGTGAATGCCCCCTTTCTGAGTAATGTTCTCAGATTTGACATCAGGTCAGGAAACCTTTTTGGGGTCAAAAATGGTAGAAATGACGTCACTCCAACGTCATGAGCGGCCGGCCTATCTTTTTTTTAATATTTGGAAAAAATATTTGGTCACAATGTGTAAAAGCTATTCACGTGAGGGTACTGAAAGGTTGGGGACGATCGGCGCAGCGGTTCTTGAGATATATAAAAAAAAAAAACTAAACGGGGGACAAAAATCCCCCCACCGCCTGGAAGGTTTTACTATTAATTTTGTATCCCAACTATTAGTTTTGAGTTGAGGTAGCAAAATTGGGGTCCCTGGCTTGCAATTACCGGTTTGGCCACTCACAACATCGAGAAATGCTTTAACTCGGCGATATTTTATTTCGAAGCCTGCAGTTTTCAGATTTTTTAATCTTTTACTAAATCTTGGTAAAAGACAATTGTTGGTTTGGTGGTAGGTACCTATATGCTGCCTTGCGCGCAACATCTGTGGCACTTTTAATTTAACCCTCGCCCGTATATTGGTGCTTTGCCAGCCGCGAACGGCGAACGAATAGGAGAGGGGGATCCGTTGGACCCCCTCACTTTACGTTCGGCCCCTAATCGAGCTAGAGCTTCGGCGAAAAGAAAACGAGCGTGTTGCACGTGGCGAGAGGAAGCCCAGGATACCTATCCAGCTTTTAGGTCCTAGGTCATTGCACGGCCTTCCAGGTCAGGTCAATGACCCAAAAGTCGGGAAAATTGGGACCTGTCAGAACTCAGAACGTCGTAAAGCGAGCATGTTCAGGGTTTCTCGGGGTGCTGATCACGAATTTCATGTTAGTTTTGATCACAGATAATGTCTTTATGCATTTAGGTCAGATCGGGTTAGGTCAGGTCAGGGCAACCAGTAGGTAGGCGTCCTGCCGGGTATTCATAGTAGGTGTCACTGTCAACCACCACTGAAAGCTTCGTAATATGCTACGAACGCACCAAAACTACTTCGTAAATGTTCAAATAATTGCTAAATTCGAAATTGAAATGCGCTATGAAAATAGGTGAGTGTAGAATATGCTTACAGGTCGAAAGGAATCGGTGAAAAACTGCGCAATGGACGGTTGCATAAACAGCATTTGATTTGATGGCGCCTGTGTGGCTGCCTCTGTGTCCAGTGGACATGACCCAATGTCACCAGCACTTGATTAGGGCACACCGGGGCAAGTCGCCCCACCGTGGTAAAACACCTCACCGATAACCGCAGGTTGTTTCTTCATTAGACAAACACTATTCGTTAGAATTGTGTTTTTCTATTGAAAAACAACCGGAGCGGTCCTTCACCGGGCTATGTATTTCTCGGAACTGGCAAGGCTCTGAGGAAACATCCTCTCTTCCATAAGACCTACTTCCATAAGACCTACACTGTAGTTATATGATCATTATATGAGCAGACTGGAAAGTATATTGTGATACCTCTGTATGGAGATATAGCCAATAATAGTTTTTGGAGGGATTTTAATATTTTGTTGTCTGATTTCTCTTTGACTATCTTTACCAGAGCACAGATGGCCGCTGATGGGTGCTTGCTCAATGCGGCTCGGTCTTGCCATCAGAATTGGACCGGGGTGCTTGTGGAGGCGGAGGACACCAACTATCAGCGCCTGCTGGCCAAGCACAGGAGGGCCCGCCTCCTGAACGCCTGCCTCGCACCGACGCCATACCCGCAGCAGGCGAGTGGCGCACCGAGCTGACCGCAGCGGCAGCTCGGTGACCGCTGAACCAAGCATTGGTTCAGCGGTTTTGCACAGAATTTGGACTTTGCTGCATGACCATTTCACTCGACTGTAAGCATGTCCAACGGAACCTTGGGCAAAACGGACAAAACGGTACCTGCTTTTTGTTTGGTGGATGTAACCGAGGTATAATTTGCTGAACAGAAAGGGTGTTCTGCTGGTAACAATACTCTACCCCTCCACAGCTGGCGTTTGAACATATCCCGGGTACATTAATATCATATGTGTTCCCCGGGTTTACCAGAGAAGACTTGGATGACAAAATGCGTCTGAAGCAGTGTTACCCGCTCTACTCGATTTTGGCGGCTGCGGGACTGACTTCGTTGGACTTTCTCAGTCTGGATATCGAGGGCATTGATCACCTCGTTCTCAAGAGCTTGCCATGGAAAAAGGTCGATATAAAGGTACTTGGTGATGTAAAATGGATATAAAACGCAGTCTGAAGACTTCAGTGTCACCTATTAGCTGTTTTCACGACGGGCTATCTGGAGAATGTACCAAATGTGACCAAATCTGCACCAAAGTTCTTTTACAACACATATATTCATATCACTAATTTCAGTGTTTGAATCCAAAATAATGCATGATAATTTGAAAAGCAGGTATATAAGAATTAAGGAACTGTGTGATGGAAGCTGATAACTTCTGAGAAATAGGTAGAATGAACCTAATTTGACCAAATCTGCCCCAAATGTGCACCAAATGTGCACAAAATATACACCAAATGTGTACCAGATAGCCGTCGTGAAAGCGGCTAATATATGTAAATTTGATTTGATCTTGGTTGGCGACATGACGGTGGTGGTAGAGATCAATTGTCTAATAACTATGATTAGCTAGCTGAGTCGGCTCCGTACATACGAGTACGTCGGGCTCGGCTGCTGCGGCGGAATTGTGTGTGGCATTGTAGATGGCCTTAGATTGGTGGCCGTATTGTCCTCATCACCACCCCTGTTGTATCTGTTGGACAGCTTGCCCTCGCCGCGTCCCCCTGTTGTATCTGTTGGCCAGCTTGCCCTCGCCGTGTCCCCCTGTTGTATTTGTTGGCCAGCTTGCCCTCGCCGTGTCCCCCTGTTGTATTTGTTGGACAGTCCGTCCTCGCCATGGCCCCCTGATGTACTTGTTGGACAGTTCATCCTCGCCGTGGCCCCCTGATGTATTTATTGAACAGCATGTCCTCACGGTGGCCCCCTGATGTATTTGTTGGACAGTTCATCCTCGCCGTGCCCCCCCATGATGTATTTGTTGGACAGTTTGTCCTCACGGTGGCCCCCTGTTGTACCTATTTGTTGGACAGTTCATCCTCACCGTGCCTCCCCCCCATGATGTATTTGTTGGACAGTCCGTCCTCGCCGTGGCCCCCTGATGTACTTGTTGGACAGTTCATCCTCGCCGTGGCCCCCTGATGTATTTATTGAACAGCATGTCCTCACGGTGGCCCCCTGATGTATTTGTTGGACAGTTCATCCTCGCCGTGCCCCCCCCCCCATGATGTATTTGTTGGACAGTTTGTCCTCACGGTGGCCCCCTGTTGTATTTGTTGGACAGTTCATCCTCGCCGTGCCCCCCATGATGTATTTGTTGGACAGTTCATCCTCGCCGTGCCCCCCCATGTTGTATTTGTTGGACAGTTCATCCTCGCCGTGCCCCCCCCCCCCCCCGCCATGATGTATTTGTTGGACAGTTTGTCCTCACGGTGGCCCCCTGTTGTACCTATTTGTTGGACAGTTCATCCTCGCCGTGCCATCCCCCATGATGTATTTGTTGGACAGTTTGTCCTCACGGTGGCCCCCTTTTGCAGATGGTGATGGTCGAGTACGTAACTCCGGGGACCGTCTTTCCCAACGGGTCGTTCAATCCAGAGTTCGAGAAGCCCATCAAGGACATTATGTTCGCCAATGATTATGTGCTGGCAAAACAATTACCTACCGATATGATATTTGTGAAGAATGGAAGTGTGTTTGATAGATCATAATACATAGTAATTTGTACATGACTCTATTTACATGAGTATTTGTAAAGCTCTGACGAACTGCATTGTAAATAATTTTGCATGAAACAAAGTGAAATTTATCTTTTTTTCTTTCTTGAGAACGAACTCTGTCTTCTTGAGATAATCACTTATCAGACAAGCTGGGCAGACGGTTTTCAGCGATTGAATGTTTAATGAGAAACCCAACAAGCGAATACGGAGTATCCGAAGGTTGGGACTTTTCAATTAAGACAAGCACTATCCATGTGCGTAACCACCGCGCTGGAACGCTGGAAATTCCAGCCCATTTTTTTTTTTTTGGATGCTGAAATGCCGCCCCTGGTAGAGGAAGTCTGCAATTGGGGGGTTTAGGGACTTCAAAACGAAGCAAAAGAAACGGCACTGCTCGGTCCACTACATACGCCTGGCCTCAACGTGCCGTTCCTCACTAAAATACCTAGGCAACCTCTATACATGCCTCCCCTCCCAGATGCTCTGCCGCCCCTCCGCACCGACTCTCCCTCAAGTTCCTCAGAGCTGTCTATGTGCCGCCCCTCACAGAACCCCACCGCCCTCAATGTGCCGCCCTTCCGCATAATGCTCTATCGCCGTCTGTGCCGCCCTCTCCAGATGACTTGCCGCCCCTCCCCAGAGTACATCGGCGCTCTCTATGTGCTGCCCTCGCCACAGCTTCCCGCCGCCCTCAATAAGCCGCCCCTCCCCACAATGCTCTATCCAGCAGTCGGCGTCGCCCTCCCAAGGCACCTTGCCACCGCTACGTGCCGCCCCTGTTTTATGATTCGCCCCTCCCTATAACGCTGTATTATTTCACATATCTATTATCCAGGGGCGTAGGCAGGGGGGCCACTGGATCATGCCCACCCCCCCCCCCCTCCTTTGCGATTGGAGGGCGCCGAAGACGCCCTCCAATCGCGAATATGTTTACAGGAAAAATGCGGTTGGAAGGCGCCCTCCAACCGCTGTGTAGGCTGTAGCGCTCTTATCGTAGTGGTAGTCGCCAAGTTAAGCCTGTTGACCGCAGCCGTCCTACCCACTGGCGCCCTCATTCTGATCAGAATACTCCTACCTATTGGCGCCCTCCTATAAATCGGCGCCCTTACCCAAAGGCGCCCTCCTGTAGGTCGCCGCCCCGCTATCCGTTGGCGCCTTTCGACTGGTCGGCGCCCTCCTACCAACTGCGCCCTCCTGTAGAATTTTGATTGCCGCCGTCCTCCGTTCTGGCATCCTCTTGTTGATCGCCGCCCTCCTACCCATTGGCGCCCTCCGTGGCTTCCTCTTGTTGAATGTTGATCGGAACCCTCCTACCTTTTGGCACCCTCGTGTTCCCTCCCACCCACTGGCGCCCTTCTGTTGATCGCCGCCGGCGCCATCCTACCCACTGGTACCTTCCTGTTGATCGCAGCCCTACTCATGCAGGCGCCCTCCTGTTCAATGTCACCCTCTTAGGCAAAGGCGCCCTCCTCACCATTGCCGCCCTCCTTTTGATCGTCAACCTTGCGCCCATCGGCGACTTCCTGTTGATGATCGCCTTCCTACCTATTGACGACCTGCTGTTGATTGCATGGTCATTCTGCCTATTGGCGACCTCTTGTTGATTGCCACATTCCTATCTATTGGCGCCCTCCTGTTCCTCGCCGCCCTCTTACCTGGTGGCACCCACCTGTTGATTGTCGATCGGGCCCCTCCGTCCTATTGGAGCCCTCCTGTTGATCGCCGCCCTTCTACTTATTGGTGAACTCCTGTTAAACGCCGCCCTCCTACCTTTTGGCGCCCTCCTGTTGATCGCCGCCCTTCTACCTATTGGCGACCTTTTGTTGATTGCCATCCTCCTACTCATTGGCGCCCTCTTGCTGATCACCGCCCTCCAGATAATTAACATTCTTCTGTTTTTCGGTGCTCCCCCACCTACTGGCGCCTTCCAGGTGAATGTTGGCCGGGGCCCTCCTTCCTATTGGCACCCTCCTGTTAATTGCCGCCCTTCTACCCATTGGCGCCCTGCTGCTGCTTGCCACTAGCCTACCTATTGGTGCTCTCCTGTCGAATGTCGATCGGGGCTCTCCTATCTTTTGGCGCCCTCCTGTTTCATGCTGATCGGGGGTCCTCCTATTTGGCGCTCTCCTGATGATCGCCGCCCTCTCAGCCATTGGCGCCTTCCTGTCGATCGCAGCCCTTCTACTCATTGGCGACCGCTGTTGATCGCTGCCCTTCATTTACCTACGTTTCCCAGCGTAGCGGCTCTCTTTCACATATTTGATGCCTTGCCTGTCGAAACTGCCACAGATGAGCGTGCATTCATCACAATGAATGAAGTAAACCAAAACTCCACGCTCTATGCATGAAACCCGTCTTGGTCTTAACAGATTGATCTTACAATAATGACATTTAGGTACAGGGATCACGATAAAGAAGTCAATGGGCACGGCCGCAACAACAAACGTTTGAAATTTCGGCGATTGAAATTGGTTATGTGTTATGTGCTTAACACTGGATGGATCTGTGAGAAGGCTATAGGGGCTGGTCTGAGGCAATTTAGGTGAGAAGCCCGAAGAGGCTAACCCGCTCTCATGAGGAGCAGTCCCGTTTCGGTTTATGTTTCTGATGCTTGTTGCTGCGCTGCTGCTTCTTGTTGTGAGCTTGTATTTACGCATCTCGTGCTCCGGTATCAATCCGATACGGTGATCTGGTGTGGATGCCGCCACCAATTAACTTTTTCTACACCGTCACTCATGGGCGGAGCTTCCTGTACAGTTGGTGTGGCAGTGGCCCCACCAATCTTTATTTTTGCCCCAGCAACTTTGCTAAAAGAGTGAGAAGAGCTTTGAACAGAGAACAAATCAGGTGTGCTTAAAAAGCGGAGAAAGGGTTTGTTTTCGAAAATATCGCGTGCCTTCGGCGCAGCATTTCAAGAACACTTTGTCAATAGGAACTCAGTACTTATGCCAATCACTTGCAACCTTTTTGCCACTGTGAGATTAACCCAATACCTACCAAGTTTTGCAGCACTGCGCGTCGCGGCTTTCCTTACACACGCGAAGAAAAACTGGTGGCGTGGTAAAAAAAAAAAACGCCTCCCCTCCCCCTCCTGAGCGATCGTTACGGATTTTTATCTCGTGACCGTATGGCGCCCTCCTTGGGTGAGGTGGCGCTTTCCTAACCCTTGCCCCCCCCCCTTCGCAATTTTCTAAATACGCCGCTGTCTATTATGTAAACTTTTAACTAGGATAGCTAACTACCTGCATGGCTGCCCTAGAATTGTCAGCTGGGTTTGACGCCAACCAGTCAGAACTCAGATCCCATTGCAATTAAACTACCCTGAATGAAGTGAACTATTTAAGAGTGTACCTATCATTTATCAATCCGGTGCGTAGTAGCAAAGTCAAACTGCTAGCAACGGGCTGACCGCCCATCTTACGCATGCATATCTACCTCATAAAGTATCAATATCTCAAACACCAGAGCCGTGGCGGAGTGGCGGGTTATCTACGTCTACGCCTCATAACGTGTAGTCAGTTGACTGCTGATTATTGCTCTTATTTCCCAAAGCGAAAGTTCTTAACCCTTTCCCGTATTGGTGTTTTTATTTCAGCCGCGAACGTATAGGGGGGGGGGGGGGGCCTTGCCGTTCCGCCCCTGATCGAGCTAGAGCTTCGCGGAAAAAAACGACCATGTTGCCCGTGACGAGAACAAGCCGATGCTACCAAATTTTAAGGTCTTAGGTCATCGGTAGACCTTGTCACCTTCCAGGCCAGGTCAATGACCCAAATGTCGGGAAAATCGGGACCTGTTAGAACGTCGTAAAGGGTGGCTGCTATGGAGTTTTCGGGGTACTGATCACGCATATCATGTTAATTATAATCATAGATGATGTCTTCATGCATTTAGGCCAGGTCGGGTCAGGTCAGGTCAGGTCAAACAGTAAGGGTTTTGTCGGGTATTCGTAGTAGGTGGCAACCGCCTCTGACAGCTTCGTAACATGTTACGAAGGCACCAAAACTACTTAGAAGTACAGAATTTTGATAGGCTACTTGGCCTTTACGTCCGTTCCAGTCGAGCTGCTTAGTGTGGGTTTTACTGGTCTGTGTAAGGTATCGCGTGTACGAGGTCTGCCCAGTGGGTGTCTAGGTGGGTCTTGAACTGGTTGAGTGTACTGGCGTCGACAACTTCTGGCGGCAGAACTACTTCGTAAATGTTCAAATGGTTGCTAAATTCGAATTTAGCTCCAAAAACTAACCTAGAAACATGTAAAACTCGAAAAAGTGAACCGAGGTCATCAAAGGTCATTTACCTGACCTGACCTTCCGGTGACCTTGACACCCACCCTAATGCATGGGAGCAACATCATATCCCATGTTTGAACGCATGAAACCACGGAAAGACTGCAAACGCGCGGCTAATGCGAGCCGACATACGCCGAATCGCGATTCCGGCCAAACATGCTCGAAAAGTAGGTCAAAGGTCATTAGGGTCAGGGTCATGAAATTTTCATGGCAGGTGTAAACTTAATTAACGCGAGGGTACTGAAAGTTTCGTCGTGATCGGCCGCTTTTTACGCGAGTTATTCGCGAAAAACCGAGGGGTGGTCTGTTCGACCCCCCCCCCATACGGGCGAGGGTTAATACACAAACACGACGGCCCTCAAACACTCACCTCTGGCGCCCAAAATATAAGTGCCGCCCTTCCCTTCGCATTTGATGCCGCCCCCAGGGAGTTATTTCCAGCCCATTTTTAAGGAGTGATTACGCCCCTGGCACTATCCTTAAGAATTGTGATTTTCTATTGAAAATCGCAACCTGAGCTACCTCTCTAGGGTACGGAAGATATCAGCACTGTTCATGTAGGACACAACGAAGCCTAATTTTGATATCTTTTTAATTTTTCAGTCCATATTTAGATTTTAAGTCCATCGGATCGCTTTAGGTAATTGCACAAGTGCGGCAAGAGACGGGCAATAGGAATAAATGGAAAGTAGGGGAAGCCGGGGGAAGCCCGGCCACCCCGTTTCCGGCTAAATTATTCACAATAAAATGCTCAACTGTTTGTCCTTTCAGCGTGGCAGCTAAGGTAACGCCAGCAAAAAAGTTAAGCAGGGATGCAGAGCCGTGGAAATTTCAGACGGCTCCGGCTCCGGCTCCGGCTCCGGAGAAAAAAATCGGCTCCGGCTCCGGCTCCGGCTCCGGAGAAAAAAATCGGCTCCGGCTCCGGCTCCGGCTCCGGGTGAAATGTCATGGCGGCTCCGGCTCCGGCTCCGGCTCCGAGTAAAATTATCCGGCTCCGGCGGCTCCGGCTCCGGCTTCTACTCAGTACATCCCCTATGCGATCAATTAAATACGGGTGGAAGAAAAAAGCTTCGCGGAAAAAAACGAGCGTGTTGCCCGTGACGAGAGGAAGCCGATGATACCCAATTTTAAGGTCCTAGGTCCAGACTTGTAAACGACTCAAATTTTTTTTGAGTCGATTCTTTGTTTGAGTCTGGAAATTTGAATCGATTCATCAAACGACTCATGATGTTAAATTTAATTGATTCGAATCAACTCATGACTCATCAAGTTCCTCGATAAAATGATTCGAATCAACTCATGACTCGAGCAACTAGCCAACGGAATGATTCGAATCAACTCATGACTCACATTTTGATGAATCGATTCAAATCAACTCATGACTCACACGACCTTTTTATTGAACTTATTTCATTCAACCCATGACTCACTATAGGCATTTGTTGATTATTTGACTCAAAGCTATGACAAAATGAATATGCCGCATACCACAATTGTATTAAGCAGCATAGTAGCCTTGACCAAAGATTCAAGCAGCTACCTAGTAGGACTAGGTAGTAGGTACATAGGTACCTACCTTACACCTACCTATCTTCAACACTCAACAGTCAACAGTGCAATATCAGATAAATTTGTAAGTAACTCTGAGAGACAATTATAATATAAGTGAGGACTAAGGAGTAGCATAGTAACCTATCTCTTATTATTACCTAGAAAGTCTTTTTGAAAATTCAAAAGCACAAGTTCCGAGAGGCATTCATGTTTTTTTTTAATCAAACTTTTTCTACATGATAATGAAACAAATGTTACTACTTCTTACTTATCACATAAAATTATTCAAACAGTACAACCTCAAAAATAGGATTAATCCCACCTGTGACACATTCAGCATCAGCAGGGACTCCATGGGCCACGAGGAGCAAACGAGGAGGCCATGACCTTGCATGGGTGGCTCAGGCCTCAGAATCAGATATGATCTTGAGTTGAGACTCGAAAGTGGCGTCACCTTGGGCGTCACCGTCGCCTTCCCGCCAAGGTAGGCCATAATGACCAAGGTCACGTATGTCAAACTAGTGGCAGCTTCAGATCGCAGTTACCGTGCGATCGTACTAACTTACTGCAAATTTGTGCTAACCTGCTGCAGTGGAAAACAAGTAAGTATTATGTCCGTGAAGTTAGCGTCAGCAACAACAACGAATACAGCGTCGGATTCAGAATCACTCAAAAAACTCATATTCGGTCAATTGGGGGACGGGGAGCAAGAATATGACCTTTATTTGGCCCTAGCTTTTACCCCTTACCCCTTAATCGGCCCTTAAGGGAAGGGGCGCGTCAAAAGTGCCTCAAGGGTTCGTCTGATCGCCAAAATAAGGGTCGCAATCGATTCCCCGGGTTAATATCTAGCCGCAGTCTTGGGTTCCAGATGTGTGCAACTTACCCCTTACCCCTTAATCGGCCCTTAAAGGAAGGGGCGCGTCAAAAGTGCCTCAAGGGTTCGTCTGATCGCCAAAATAAGGGTCGCAATCGATTCTTTGGGTCAATATCTAGCCGCAGCCTCGGGTTCCAGATGTGTGCAACTTACCCCTTACCCCTTAATCGGCCATTAAAGGAAGGGGCGCGTCAAAAGTGCCTCAAGGGTTCGTCTGATCGCAAAAATAAGGGTCGCAATCGATTCCTCGGGTCAATATCTAGCCGCCGCCTCGGGTTCCAGATGTGTGCAACTTACCCCTTACCCCTTAATCGGCCCTTAAAGGAAGGGGCGCGTCAAAAGGGCCTCAAGGGTTCGTCTGATAGCATAAATAAGGGTCGCAATCGATTCCTCGGGTTAATATCTAGCCGCAGCCTCGGGTTCCAGATGTGAGCAACTTACCCCTTATCCCTTAATGGGCCCTTAAAGGAAGGGGCGCATCAAAAGTGCCTCAAGGGTTCGTCTGATCGCCAAAATATGGGTCGTAATCGATTCTTCGGGTCAATACCTAGCCGCAGCCTCGGGTTCCAGATGTGTGCAACTTACCCCTTACCCCTTAATCGGCCCTTAAAGGAAGGGGCGCGTCAAAAGTGCCTCAAGGGTTCCTCTGATCGCAAAAATAAGGGTCGCAATCGATTCCTCGGGTCAATATCTAGCCGCAGCCACGGGTTCCAGATGTGTGCAACTTACCCCTAACCCCTTGAGGCACTTTTGACGCGCCCCTTCCTTTAAGGGCCGATTAAGGGGTAAGGGGTAAGTTGCACACATCTGGAACCCGAGGCTGCGGCTAGATATTGACCCGAGGAATCGATTGCGACCCTGGATCAGACGAACCCTTGAGGCACTTTGACGCGCCCCTTCCTTTAAGGGCCGATTAAGGGGTAAGGGGTAAGTTGCACACATCTGGAACCCGAGGCTGCGGCTAGATATTGACCCGAAGAATCGATTGCGACCCTTATTTTGGCGATCAGACGAACCCTTGAGGCACTTTTGACGCGCCCCTTCCTTTAAGGGCCGATTAAGGGGTAAGGGGTAAGTTGCACACATCTGGAACCCAAGGCTGCGGCTAGATATTAACCCGGGGAATCGATTGCGACCCTTATTTTGGCGATCAGACGAACCCTTGAGGCACTTTTGACGCGCCCCTTCCTTTAAGGGCCGATTCAGGGGTAAGGGGTAAAAGCTAGGGCCAAATAAAGGTCATATTCTTGCTCCCCGTCCCCCAATTGACCGAATAAGAGTTTTTTGAGCGATTCTGAATCCGACGCTGTATTCGTTGTTGTTGCTGACGCTAACTTCACGGACATAATACTTACTTGTTTTCCACTGCAGCAGGTTAGCACAAATTTGCAGTAAGTTAGTACGATCGCACGGTAACTGCGATCTGAAGCTGTCACTAGTTTGACATACGTGACCTTGGTCATTACGGCCTACCTTGGCGGGAAGGCGACGGTGACGCAAGCTTTACCGACCTAGGTGAGTTTATTTATATTATAGCATAGCCTATAGGTAGTTTATAGGCTATAGGTAGTTTGGACGTATTTGACTCTATAGACACCCGGCTAACTCTTATGCTGTTGATTGATTATTGGGACCAAATTGGGACTGGGAGAAGGGGAGGCAGCCGCAGGTGTCAATTCTGACTTCTGACATGTAAAATGTAGGTACCTAGGTAGTGTAGCAGGCACTTGGCTTGGTAAGACTAAGTACCTACCAACTGCCAAATGCTTTTGGCTCATTAGGCGCCTGTGCCTGAGCCTCTGAGGCTCTTGTAAGTCTGAAATATGGAGTTAAGTGATGGCTAAAGCTGAGAGATTGATCTAGCATTGATTATTAGGGTGTTGATGGTGACTTGTAAACGACTCAAATTTTTTTTGAGTCGATTCTTTGTTTGAGTCGGAAATTTTGAATCGATTCATCAAATGACTCATGATGCTAAATTTAATCGATTCGAATCAACTCATGACTCATCAAGTTCCTCAATGAAGTGATTCGAATCAACTCACGACTCATCGAAAAACGGTTTGATTCTGAGTCGATTCACGAATCAACTCAGAGTCGTTTACAAGTCTGCCTAGGTCATTGGTTGACCTTGCAGGTCAGGTCAATGACCCCACAGGCGGGAAAATCGGGACCTGTTAGAAGGTCGTAAAGTGTGGCTGCTATGGGGTTTTTCGGGGTGCTGATCACGAATATCATGTTAGTTTTGATCACAGATGATGTCTTCATGTATTTAGGCCAGGTCGGGTCAGGTCAGGTCAGGTCAACCAGTAAGGGTATTCGTAGTAGGTGGCAACCGTCTCTGACAGCTTCGTAACATGTTACGAAGGCACCAAAACTACTTCGTAAATGTTCATATGGTTGCTAAATTCGAATTCAGCTCCAAAAACTGGCCTAGAAACATGTAAAACTCGAAAAAGTGAACCGAGGTCATCAAAGGTCAATGACCTGACCTGACCTTTAGGTGACCTTGACACCCACCCTAATGCATGGGGGCAACATCATATCACATGTTTGAACGCTTGAAACCACGAAAAGACTGCAAACGCGCGGCTAATACGAGCCGACATACGCCGAATCGCGATTCCAGCCAAACATGGTCTCGAAAGGTAGGTCACAGGTCAAAGGTCATTTGGGTCAGGGTCATGAAATTTTCAGGGTAGGTGTGAAATTGATGAACGCGAGGGTACTGAAAGTTTCGTCGCGATCGGCCACTTTTTACGCGAGTTATTCGCGAAAAACCATGGGGGGGGGGTCCGTTCGACCCCCCCCCCCCTATACGGGCGAGGGTTAAATCAAAAAATTATTCTTATGTAGTTTTATACGTATTATTTACAAAATTTTCAAAATTTTTAAGTCCGAAATAGCATTTTGATAGCCACGTGTATTCTCAGTCCACTCGCGCAAAGAAATCAGTTGTGGCTTAAAAACTGAGCCTTTGAGAGGCATTACCGTAGTTCAATGTTTTGTAGCAAAATCGGCCGACCTGACGTCACTGTGACGTCATTTCCGGCCCACCAATGGTAGCTAGAAAGTTTTGATTTGAGTGCAAGATGTCAAATTTATGCCGCTGAAGGAACTGCAAGTTTCATGTTGGTACGTCGAGCGGTTTAAAAGATATTGCAGAAAATGGGAGGGGGCTCTGTAAAGCCCCCCCCCCCCCAGTCATGCGCGGGAATTAAGCGTTCCCAGCTGAGAACTCGAGAACCAATTGGCGCAGCGCAATGCACGAGGTGACAAACGAAGGAACGCGACGAGACGCTTCGGATGAGTAAATGATAGTTGAGCTTCGAGGTCACAGGTCGGGTCAAGGTCAGGTCAAACACCTGAAATTGGGCTTTCAGTAGCATGGACTTGAACCTCGTACCGGGCGTCTCTCGTCCTTTATATAGTCTGCAATCCTTCATATAAGTGCTACATGAGTGCCAGATCTGTGTAAAGATCAGTCAAGTATAGGTTCGGGTCAAGTTCAGGTCAGTCAGGTAAGAACGTATCCCTGAAAACCAAAAGTGGCATTCGCGGCATATGACACATGTTTTACGGGTACTTTTTAGTGTAGAATATGATGGTGACATTCATTTTATTATACGAGTAGGTACGTATTCGGTCGGAAAAGAGCACTTAAAGGTAGTGTGCCAGCTTTCCTGGACCGTATGGAGTTAATGGCCCAGATAAGGAGAACCGGATTTTTAGAACTTATCCATACCTTCAAAACTCATGGAAACGTCTTAAATTCTTCAAATTTTGAGTACCCCAGTGCGAAATTCGTCCCGACGGGTTGTCGGTCGTACCCCAACCACATTTCACACCACTATGAACAATAAATGCACACACTGAAATCGCTATTACCGATATGCTCATCCAATCAAGCTTCGATAAACCCGTTCATCATCATCTCCTGCGGTTTCGAACACGCCTGTTAGGTGGTGCGGTAGACCGCGCCCAAAGCCAGGGCCCCGGTAACGTGAGGTAGCCGAGTAGGGGCAGCGTGCGCTGACCCAAGCCGGGGCCGTGCGTCCTCCCGGTGTCATGTGATAGCCTGGGGCTGCACAGTGATGCAAATGGGGTTCACGAGTGGCCATAAATACCCAAAAGTCAAGTTTACCAAATCGAGTTAATTGCGATATGGCCGAGTAGACAAATGTTTGGGGCATCTGAAATCACATGGTTTTCATGTTTTTGTCAAAACCGGCCTCGTGTATAACCGTCAGAAGTCGTGACATTTTCTAGGTCGTAAAATGACGGTCAGATGCTCGCAAGCTCAAACGCCGCTGGTTTGCGTTCATTTCGTACAAATTGAACAAATTATGCATGGGAATGATCCCCAAAGCATTCTGCTTCTAATGCCGGGTCACAGAAAGCCGTATCTCATTCGCTTTGGCGGTAATCTGACTATTTATCATCATGTTGCAATCGCAGTTTTTTTCTAAGAAAAAAAATGCTTTCGTTTCACCTACAGCACTTAACACAGTGTGTGCCCGTTAGTCCACCATACCATAGCCTTCCCTTATCATTTCTGAGTCGCATCGTGAAAGAATTAACACGCGCAGTGGAAGGGGGGGCGGATTTCGCCCACCCCTCCTGTTTTTCGCCAATAACTCGCGCTGCAAACATGATATTAAAGTGAAATTTTGGCTACCTGTCCAGAATTGAACTGCGGATCTTCTCGTGCAAGATATAAAAAAATCGGGTCACAACTTTTCTAGTAATAGCGGTGTAAAGTCAAACATCCTGCCGCCGCGGCGGCGCGGCGGCGCGGCGGCCGGCGCTAGCCGTTACGCGCCGCCTGAATTGTAGACTGTGCCGGGGCGGGACGGTTCCGTCTTTACATCGCGCTCCTTACCGCTGATTATATTCGATTCGCGTCAAATTTTGTGAGAAGACTAAGAAATGTACAGGCAATCTTATGGTCAAAGAATTTTGAAAATCGGCCGGTAACAACTTGAGTTTTGAGTGTGTAAACACAAAATTGTGATTGCCGCGTTTTCCGCGTCCGCCGATCCCGCTTCAGCCGGCGACATCTTACGCTTAGCAGGCTTCTAACTGCCATATTTATTGTTGGATTAACAAGAAATTCATCATACATACTCACAAATGTATGTTCTTTCGTATAGTGAAAGAAAAAAGAAAATCGGCCGGTAACTTTTTGAGTTATCGGCGTGTAAACGCAAAAAAGTCGCTAATATGGCAGATTTGACCACTTTTGACCTCATTTGACCTTGAAGATATTGATCTAGGGTCATGAAATTCACACACAACAGAGTTCCCCTGGGCCCCCACCTACCCTCCAAATTTCGTCTTTCTAGCTCCAGTGGGAGCTGAGATCTTAGGGGGGGGGGGCGACATCCGCCCCCCCCCCTTCCACTGGGCGTAGTACTCGCAACCCTTCCACTGCGCGTGTTAAGGCACTAGCACAGGGCTGACCGGCGCTACAGAGGTTTTTGTCCAGGCGGTCGGGTGCCGGAGTGGGCGCGCAGTGGGCGGGTGGGTGCCGCCGCGTGACGTCCGGGCGGCGCGGCGGCGCGGCCCCCGGGCCGCCCGCTGCACCGCGGCACCCGACCGTGCCGGACGAAAACTTCTGTAGCGCCGGTCAGCCCTGTGCTAGCGCCTTAATTCTTTCACGATGCGACTCAGAAATGATTAGGGAATGCTATGATATGGTGCACTAACGGGCACACACTGTGTGAAGTGCTGTAGGTGAATTGAAAGCAAATATTTTTGGTAAAAAACTGCGGTTGCAACATGATTACAAATAGTTAGCTCACCGCCAAACCAAAATATATACGGCTTTTTATGACGTGGCATTAGAAGCAGCAGGTTTCGGGGATCATTTTCATGTATAATTTTTGCAGTTTGTAGGTATGACATGAACGCACGCTAGCGGCAATTGAATTTCAAGTACCTGACAGTCATTTTACGACATCGAAAATGTCTCGACTTCTGACAATCCTACACAAGGCCGGTTTTGACAAAAACATTAAAATCATACTTTTTCAGACACCCCAAACATTTGCCTGACTGACCATATTACGATTTATTCGATTTAGTGAACTTGAATTTTGGGCCTTTTTCGTATTTATGGCCACTCGTGAACCCCATTTGCATCACTGTGGGCTGCCCGCGGGGATGCGGTAGACCGCGCCCAAAGCTGCGGCCCCGGCTTGGGTCAGCGCACGCTGCCCCGATTCGGCTACCTCACGTCACCGGGGCCCTGGCTTTGGGCGCGGCTTCTGCTCATACTTTGTGGTCCGGTGGTGGTGCGTCGGGCCGCGCGCTCTGGCTTCGGCCAAGAAAAATGCGTCAGCTGATCATTGTCATTTCTGCCACTTGCGTGTGGTGAAATGGGGTCATAACTTAAGAGACGGCTTTTTCATATCAATTATTCTACATAAAATCATATTTCAAACCATAAATAATGTTCGACAGCCAAATAAAAGAAACAATAGGTACCAATACAGGCTTACAGTTTAAGGCTCGACATTGTGTTGTCTACGAGTAGACAGCTGATAACTCATTCCCGTACGTCGTAACTCTATAATGACCTTTGCTTATTGTCATATGTGCGCCGCATTCGCGATTGTTGCCGACGCATGTTTGCAGGTCAGCCCACTACAGTTGTTATACATATCGAAAAACCGATAAACTTTTAGGCGAAAAAGGCACTATTCCAGGCCCATTTTTGATTTTTTTTGCGATATTAGGTAAAAACAGAAGCATCTTATCCTAGGAAAAATAAAATGGGAAATCTTTCAAAGGTGGCACACTGCCTTTAAAGTAACGCATGCATCATGGTATTGAAGTAGTCACGAGAAATTGCCAAGGAACAATTCAAGTCTTTGGAGAAGGTGGAATGATAATAAAAAATCGAGGATAGCCATTATCAGTAGCGGCAGAACACCTTCAATTAGGGGGGGGGGGGAACTGCCGACTTTTGGTCCCATTCTTTCCATGCAACGCCCATAGGGCTAATATTAAAATGGCAAAATCAAGGGGAGGCACGGTGCCCCGGTGCCCCCCCCCCCCGTTCCACCGCCTATGTAGCCATTTGATTGTTTATGGTATTGGCAGTATGATGGCGTTTAAGACATGTTTGTCATCTGTTGTGAGTTTATATGATATTTGATCATATGCCGATTTTGGTCGAAAACTAAGAAATCATGACGGTCCTAAAGCCTCGATATCTAAAAAAATCCAACCATTTCTTTTGAAACTTTTCATAATACTTAACTTCAAGCTATTCCCTACAGGTACTAAAAAGTTGGCGCGCTTGCGGCGATACGTTTTTTTTTAAGCTAGAACACGACGGAAAAAGGTGGGGCACTTAAAAGGTGCCCCCCCCCCCCAGCAACTCGCGAATTAAGCTCTCAAAGTGATAAGACAGGCTTTAATATCCCCCAGATCCTAACAGTTCCGTTCTAAAGAGATTCGTTTTCTCCTGTCGCCGCTGACAGCAGTCAGGTGGGCAGCCAGGTGACAGGTGGGCAGTCAGCCCCGCCGGTGCGGCGGCGGCGCGGCGGGCCCGGCCACTGCACTGGTGGCCGGCGCGGCGGTGCACCGCTGCAGTTCTGCCGAGGGCGGGGTCGGTGGCCGGTCCGCGGCCGAGCGGAGGGCTCGGCGCCGGCCGTGACGCGCGCTGCGTAGTGCATACCTTAGCAGTCGCACGGGGCGCCCCGACGATGGAAGGGTGAGAGGACACTTATAGTGCTCATGGAGCGTGGAAGATGCTGACAGAACGCCTGACGGACTGGGACACCCTCCTATACTAGGTAAGGTCATTCACCTTCGAGGAGAGACTTGTATGTTACGATTAAATCAGGCATCGTTCCTATAAAAATAGATTCCTATAAGACACGCAATTAGCTCTAAAAATGTTCTTACGTTGGTGAATGTCTCTGCGTTTCACTAGACTATTTTTTGTGTGCAGATTCTGTGAGACGGTCAGGAGTTCTCAGCTGTGCAGGTTCGGGATGGCGCCGCCGCTCGGGAGCAGGCGTCATCTGGTCGGCGGCGCCGTGCTGATATCGCTCGGCTGTTCCCTGCTCCTGGTGCACAGCCGCTCAGGTAGGCCTCGCTCAATCACCATCGTCTCAACATGGTGACTTACCAGCCACTAGTCTTGTGACTGGTACCAAACATCGCTGTTTGGGTATGTGCGTCAAGTCAGTAGGCATTCGTATTCGTTTTCAGTGTCGAGTTCAAAACTTCATTAAACTATGTAAACGCATAGATCTTGGCACACTGGTTCCAAAAATATCATTCATTTTGGCCTTGGCCAAATACCCTGACCTCTATAGGCTAAAAACCGTTTTTCGACGGGATACCGGATAAAAAGTTAATTCACCGTCCGATCGCGCTTGAAACGCCACCAAACGAAGCGCCGTGACGAAAGCTAGCCGCACACCCAACAAAATGGCTGATCGAGGTAAAAGTTCATGGTAATATCGCAAGAAAACGTCTATTTTTCGACGGAGTACCAGATAAAAAGTTTATTTACCGTCTGATTACGCTCAAAATGCCACCAAACGACGTGCCGTGACGAAACCTAGCGGCTAGCCGCAAACTCAACAAAATGGCCAATCGAGGTCAAAGGTGAAGGTCATGTATGCCAAAAACAGTTATTTTTGACGGGGTACCAGATAAAAAGCTTCGGTTTTTAACCCTCGCATGTGTGCGGCGTTTGCCAGCTTCAAATGTGTAGGGGGGGGGGGGGTCGGTTGGACCCCCCTGCCGTTTCGCCCGTGATCGAGCTAGTTAGAAAGCCGTAAAGTGTGGCTGCTATGGGTTTTTTCGGGGTGCTGATCACGAATATCGTGTTAGTTTTGATCACAGATGATGTATTTGAGCATTTAGACCAGGTCGGGTCAGGTCAGGTCCGGTCAACCAGTAGGGGTCGTGACGGGTATTCGTAGTACGTGTCAACCGCCTCCGACAGCTTCGTAACATGTTACGAAGGCACTAAAACTACTTCGTAAATGTTCAAATTGCTTCTAAATTCGAATTCAGCTCCAAAAACTAGCCTATAAACATGTAAAACTCGAAAAAGTGAACCGAGGTCACCAAAGATCAATGACCTGACCTGACCTTCAGGTGACCTTGACATCCACCGTAATGCATGGGAGCAACGCCAAATCACATGTTTGAGCGTTTGAAACCACGAAAAGCTTGCAAACGAGCGGCTAATGCGAGCCGACATACGCCCAATCGCGATTCCGGCCAAACATGGCCTCGAGAAATAGGTCACAGGTCAAAGGTCACTTGGGTCAGGGTCATGAAATTTGCAGAGTAGGTGTAAAATTGATCAACTCGAGGGTACTGAAAGTTTCATCGCGATCGGCCGCTTTTTGCGCGAGTTATTCGCGAAAAACCATGGGGGGTCCATCCGACCCCCCTACACATGCGAGGGTTAAAAGTAAGGTTTTTTGCATATATGACCTTGACCTTTGACCTCGATCGGCCATTTTGTGGAGTGTGCGGACTGCGGATAGCTTTCGTCTCGGCGCGTCGTTTGGTGAAATTTTGAGCGCGATCGGACGGTAAATAAACTTTTTATATGATACGTACCCCGTCGAAAAACAGTTTTTAGCCCCTTGAGGTCAAAGTATTCGACCTAGGTCAAAATGAATGATATTTTGGGAACCAGCGTGTGAAGATCTATCGGTTCACATAGTTTTGTGAAGTTTTGAACTCGACGCTGAAAACGAATACGAATACGACGGTAACTTGACGCATCTTGTTTGGGTATCGAGCGGTGCAATAGTTAAACAGTAGGTAAGTGCCTATATAAATTCAAATAAAAGCATATTATTGAATTTAAAGTGAAACATCATTTGAATAAAGAAAACAAAATAATTAAGCAGGTTATGAGAGAGAACAAAAAAGTTGATAATCTTTATTGGTTTAAGATTGAACTAATAGGTTATGATCTATGAACTAACTACGAGCTATGATCTATGGCCCATTGGGAGGGTTTGCTGACACTGGTCTGCCTATTGGCGCCGTGTGTGTGGCCAGGAGAGCCCGGCTCATGGCCGGTGCCGTGGACGTACCGGGACCTGCTGCGCGGCCCGCTGGTGCTGGCCGCCGACGAGCCGGCCGTGGTGAGCATCGTGCGGGCCATGCTGGACGGGCCCTCCGCAGAGCCGTACCGCCTCAGACGGCCCGGGGCCGCCGACAGCTCGCAGCTGGAGCAGCTCGCCAGCCTGACGCACATTGTCGGCCGCAAGGTCAGCACCGTCACACGAAAAGGAAAAACAGCCGAGCATCGTCGTTTATAGTACCTACATACATACAGCTCGCTTAGTGGTCCACTCATATCGGCACTTACAGCTCTATTGCGAGGGATCTTCGAGTATACAACACGTAGCGGTCATCTACCAATGGAAGAGCATTGATATACACTCGCCATGAACATTCAGTATGAAATATATTAAAAGTTTACCAATTATCTTTTTGTTCACTGCAACCAATTTCTTATCCCGCGCCGGGGCGGTTCTCCGAGACTTCCGCGCCGGGCCGGGGGGGGGGGGGTCTGAGCACCCCCTTCTAACTCGGCTCCTGGGCCACGTAGCGACACGCGGTAAGCGGCAATGAAAAGAGCGTCCATAATAAGGACGAAAACACTGGGTCATTTTTTGGGTCAGGCCAAAAGGTCAGGTCACCAGAGGTCACCAAAGGTAAAATGCTGGCTATTTGAACACTTTGGAAACTGCCAACGGCTAACTCGGGAACCGATAGAGCTACAGAGCCGCGGAAAGGCGTATTCGGTAGCTCTTTTAACGCTTTTTCGCCAATATGTCCTCAGATTTGACCTCAGGTTAATGGTTTAGCCTCCAGAGGGCAAAAACTAAAAAAATAGCCGTATTTACGAAAAGTGTTTTCTCGGCAATAACTTTTGACTCAAAAGAGCCACGACATTACTTTTGCCAGCATCGTGTTCCTCTCGTCGAGACGCTTCGAATGAACTATAATTTGACCTTGAAAGGTCAACTTGAAAATTTGAGCTTAGGTCAAGATCATGATCTGACTGGAAAAGGTCATCTTTTAATATGTGAGATGGTGCTTTTTGCCATGATGAATAGATATAAATATGTGAAAATGATCAATAACATGGCAGAAATGTAAAACTTTTATTGTAAAATAGGCCAAATATGATGGAAAAGGTCATGTTGCATATCAGTCGATCCGCATCGTCAGGCCGAACACATCTTATGCCATGAAACAGACTTTCCGCAGTCAGGAAATCGCATGCGAGAGCCTATCCAAATATATGGAAGCACGCTCGCATCAATCGCACGCACCTCCCGGTGCGATTGATGCGGGAAAATTATATTGTATTTGAATGGGCTCTCGCATGCGATTTCCTGAACGCGGAAAGAGTCTGATTCAGCCTTAGACCTCGCCGGACCTATTGGTTTTCTACATACGCGCCGGCCGAGGGGGGTGGGGGGCGGGTAAGACCCCCCTCGCCGTTTCGCCCCTGGTGGAGCTAGCGCGTCGCGGAAAAAACGAACGTGTGCGCCGTTACGAGACGCAGAGATTGGTACCCGATTTTAAGGTCCTAGATCAACCGGTGACCTCTGAGGTCAGGTCAAGTTCCCCAAGGCACGGTTCAGTTTTTGGTGAATAACTTCGTAAAAAACGGCTGCAGAGCCGCGATTTTGACAGTATCGTGTTTGCCTTGCTCAGGCGCGTCGAATGATATACTTTTTGTTCGGGTCAGGTCAACTTAGGGTGTTGACCTCAGGTCAAGGTCAGGTCAGCACCCCCAGGTCACATAGTTGGCCAAAAGAGGTCATGTCGCATATCATTCGATTCGGCAGGTCTTCCTGAGTCCATTGGTGGCTTTCGCGACTCGCTAGCTCAATTTGATCAAGAGTTATTGACGAAAAACTAATATGACCTTGATGACGTCATAAATGACGTCACACAAGGTCAACATTGCAAAAGTGACGCGTCTAACCTTGCAAGGAGTGCATCAAATCACAATTCTGTGTGCTTGAGATAGTTGGAGATCGTTCCCGGCGCCAGAATAGCAGTTTTCATTTTTCCCCATTGACTTATAATGGTGAGGTCACGAAAATTATCTGACCTCATATGACCTTAAGGAAAAATCCGAGATATACAAGTTGTGACACTCATAATGGATACTAGATCCTGCAAGTTTCATTTCCCTGTGACATCTCCTCTGGCAGTGAGGGCGTTGCGAAATTGCGACATCTGAAGACCGTGCAGAGGTTCACTTATGACGTCATAGGTCAGTGACCTGACCTGACCCAAAAATGCGGTTGGTGTCAAAAGATCCGGCTTGAATCAAAGGTCAGGTATGCAAGTTTCAGCTCTCTATCTCCAGCGTGTTCGGAGCTATCGCGAAAAAAAAACATATGGGGGCGGCACCCGCCCCCTCGGCCGGCGAGGGTTAAGGCGTTTTCAATGCTCTAGCATGCCTCCATCAGAAGTTACTAGCGAAAAACTGTTAGATACTAGGTACCTAATCATGACCTGAGATGACCTCGGGGACATAACGAGGAGTCACAGGTGCCATTTTCCGGTTCAGTGTGTCAATTTTACCTGCATCCCGATGTTTGAGAGTGTCTAGAATGGCGTTCGTGCAAAAGAGACGCTTTTCAATTTTCTCCCATTGACTTATAATGGAGAGGCCGCAAAATTGACCTGACCTTAGGTCACCGATATCAAAATTCCGAGATATACATTTTATAGATACTGTTACTCTATCAATCTCTGAAAGTTTCAAGGCAATCGACCAATCGGTGTAGCTATGACGAGCATTCTAATTTTTTATGAGGTAAGGTCACTTGGCGTGACCTGGTGACCTGACCTGGAGAGACCTGGGTCTGAAATTTTCACAACATGTGCGTAAAAGATGCACAAACAGGTGTGCTAAAAACGGCGGCGCAAATCCGCGAAAAACCGCAGGGGAGGATGTTCAAACATTCCCCGGCCCCGCGCGGGTTACTTGCGTTTGATGGGATAATTGGGAGTTCTATTACGGATTACGGTCCACTAACGTTGCGCCTATCATCCCCTTCTTTTCAGACAGGAGGCACGTTCGTGGAGGCCGGCGCATTTGACGGGGAAACGCACAGCACCACACTCTTCTTAGAAAGATTTATGGTACGAGCAACATCCTGGCAGCGATATACTGTTTGTCATGCCATTTGATGGCCACTAGTCTCTGTGAAAGCAATGATCCTACTCGTACTATTGGTCTCAAGATAAGGGCCCAGGCGACCTGTAATTTTGATGCGGTGAATACCCTTACCCTCGCCACAGCTCGGGCCGAGTGCATCCCTCCTCCCACCCAGTGCCCCCCCCCCCCCACTCGAGTTGTGGTGAGGGTATTCACCGCATCCGAACTACAGGTCGCCTGGGCCCTTATCTTAACCCGCGCCCCGCTGGGGGGGGGGGCAGAATCTGCCCCCCTCCCGTTTTTCGCCAATAACTTCTAAACGCGTTACGCCAGCGACGTCAAACTTTCGGTACCTTATCATACATCAATTTGACACATTCCCTGAAAATTTGAGCGAAATCCGTCGGAAATTTTTTGAGAAATTGACGTTTTAGTGACGTCATGTTCGCCATTTTCGCCTCAAAAACGGCAAAATTTCAAACGCCGCTAACATCTTCATTTTTAAAGGAATCAAGACGTAACAAAAAAGGTTATGCGTAATTCCACTTTGTCTATCAAATGGCTATCTCGGTTTTTTGAAAATTTTGGACTTTGGCCCAAATTTTTTCAAAAAACTGACTTTTTTGGGAAAATAATTATAAAATCCAAAATTTTGAGTGTATCGAAAAAAACGGAATATATGTCAGAGAAGTGGTCTATGTGCACCTACATACCAATTTTGAGAAGAATCGGTTCAAAAATGTGGGAGTTATTCAAAATTTTATGACGTCACGACACACAATTTTTTTGAAAAATGACTTTTTTTAGAAGTTCTAGACCTCGTACGGAAACAAAAATAGCACCATTCGATTCTCCGTGAAAAACTGCATCAGATAGACACCTTTTTAGGCCTTAAAAACCAACTTCAAAATTTGACCTCACTTGACCTGACCTTGACCTGACCTCGACCTGAAATTCATCCAGAGGTGGTCCATATCACTTATTGAGTGTGCCTATTGAATTCTATGAGTAAAATGACCCATAAAACATGTGTCGCACATGCCCTTTACTATATTTTGTTTTTGGTGACCTGACCTGACCTGACCTGACCTTGACCTTGACCTTTGAATGACATTGTATGCAACGAATATTGTCTTGGTAGTCTAAGAACACGTTTTGGGCAATCAGTCTCAGTCCATTCTTCGGCAACTACGGTGCAAGGCCGATACTGTAGAAACTTGCATTTTGTACCCTTGACCTGACCTTGACTTGACCTCTGACCTACTTAAGCAAAAAAAATTGGGCTCTTGAGATCCGCCTTGTTGAGAGCTTTCGATTGCCGTTTTCCCCGTCTTTCTACGACCATCGGTTCGGAAGTTAGACAGGGGGGGCAGAATCTGCCCCCCCCCCCCCCCAGCAGGGCGCGTATGGCTGAATAGCCCAGCGGGGCGCGGGTTAAGACCAATAGTACATGCCCATTAACGGCCGTAGGGGCCACGGGCGCTGCCCCCCCCCCCCCCCGGGGGCGCCGCCGCTCGGTGACCGGAGGGGCCGTGCGGCTGCCGAGCAGGACTGGACCGGCCTGCTGGTGGAGGCAGAGAACTGGAGCTACCGCCAGCTGCTGCTGACGCACAGGAAGGCCCGGACGCTGAACGCCTGCCTGGCGCCCGCCGCCCACCCCCAGCAGGTGAGCTGGTGCTGCCCACCCCCAGCAGGTGAGCTGGTGTTGTAGGTACCTCCCAGCAGGTGAGCTGGTTATGTCCCCCCAGCAGGTGATGTCCCTCCCCAGCAGGTGAGCTGGTGTTGTACGCCAGCAGGTGATGCCGTCCCCCCCAGCAGGTGAGCTGGTGTCGTCGTCCCCCCCCCCCCAGCAGGTGAGCTGGTGTCGTCCCCCCCAGCAGGTGAACTGGTTATGTCCCCCCCCCCAGCAGGTGAGCTGGTGTTGTACCCAGCAGGTGAGCTGGTGTCGTCCCCCCAGCAGGTGAGCTGGTGTCGTCCCCCCAGCAGGTGAGCTGGTTATGTCCCCCCCCAGCAGGTGAGCTGGTGTCGTCCCCCCAGCAGGTGAGCTGGTTATGTCCCCCCCCCCCAGCAGGTGAGCTGGTGTTGTACCCAGCAGGTGAGCTGGTGTCGTCCCCCCAGCAGGTGAGCTGGTGTCGTCCCCCCAGCAGGTGAGCTGGTTATGTCCCCCCCCCCCCAGCAGGTGAGCTGGTGTTGTACCCAGCAGGTGGGCTGGTGTTGTACGCCAGCAGGTGATGCCGTCCCCCCCCCCCCCCCCCCCCCCAGCAGGTGAGCTGGTGTCGTCTGTCAGGTGAGTCTTACTCATCCACCTCACAACTGTCAGGTGAACCTGTGCGATATGAATGTTTGAATTGCTCCACCGCCCTAAGTGCTCCAGTAGCGTCTGATATGGGTGTGTTTCCGGCCGTGCCAGCTGGGGTTCGAGGGCCTGCCCGGTACGGTCTGATGTGGGTGTGTTTCCGGCCGTGGCAGCTGGGGTTCGAGGGCATGCCCGGTACGGTCTGATGTGGGTGTGTTTCCGGCCGTGCCAGCTGGGGTTCGAGGGCCTGCCCGGTACGGTCTGATGTGGGTGTGTTTCCGGCCGTGGCAGCTGGGGTTCGAGGGCATGCCCGGCTCTCCGCTGTCCTACGTGGAGCCAGGCTCGGCGGAGGCGCAGCTGGACCGGCAGCGGCGGCCGCGCCGCTGCTTCCCGCTCTACTCGGTGCTGCTGGCGGCCGGCCTCACCACCGTGGACCTGCTCGCGCTGGACGTGGAGGGCATCGAGTACCTGGTGCTCCACTCACTGCCCTGGCACCTGGTCGACATCAAGGTGAAGCCCAACACCGCCCGCCACTCAAACCGACAGTAAATGACACCTGCTAAATGAAAACGGGTTGAAGTAGGGGATGTTCACGACAACAATGTGCGGCGTTCTTTTGCAAATTCATCATTACCCTAAGTCTAAAATCGGTACCTATTAAATGTTTAGGTACAGCCCTCTGCAAACTGCGTAGTAACTGGTAGCTATTCTTTTTCTCTCTTTTTCGACAAAACCGAGATTAACGCGAATACTATGCTATCGGTCACTCGAAAATCGTAACAGCAAGACGCGCGAGACTCCGCACCTTAGATTGGCATTATCATTGTATTCATTTTCCATCCAGTTTAGCAACACGACCCAAAAGTTTATATGTGCCCCCAAAACAAACTTTTGCATTTTGTTGCCACACAAGCCATATACTTTGTTTAATGATAGACCCAATCGAAGGAGATGAGCATGGCGCAGCTACTTGCAGTGAGTTCCGACCGACTGTTGACATCCGGGCCTTTGAGTAATTATCGGTTCTATCGAAAAAAAGAATGCCTACCAGTAAAACGCTTTTTGGGCGAAGAACGAGCGAGCGCGATAGTGAGCCCCGCACGTGCGGAAAGACGAGAGGGTTCTTCCAACGGGCTTGTGCAAAGCACCTTTCTAACCGGTCGCTAGCGGTGTGCCAAATTTGAACGCAATCGGCCCAGCCGTTCCTGAGATCTGGAAGCGGCATTCTGCACGTGCGCACGTGCAAACGGGGTCCAAACTGACTTTTGCACGGCACCCTACTAACTGGTCCCCAACCGTGTATCAAATTTGAGCGCAATCGGCCCAGCCGTTCTCGAGATCTGGGAGCGCCCCCTGCACGTGCGCACGTGCAGTAGCACCCTAACCGTAACACATGGGAATGCATTGCCTGGTGGGTGCCTACCTGTATGCCAAGTTTCAGCGAAATCGCCCCAGTAATTACCGAGTTATTGAAATGGGAACAAATTTGGCACCTCTTCTTTTTGCATTTGCATGTGCAGTGGGGGTCACTCACATAGATCAAGAGTATCCGACCTTTGGTAGAAGGGATGCAGCTACCCTACAAAAATTACCGCAAGACAATCGCCCAAGCGGCTGCTGAGATATGGGCCTCTCAAAATCACTACTTTTGCAAAACAGCTTGAACATCCTTGACTTTTCACGTGGCACGTGCCCCGACGGTCACTGAGAGTCTGAGATGTATCAAAAGTAGTCAATTACGGGGTAGAAGGGAAGGGGCTACCCAGCAAAAAAGACCGCAGGCCAATCGGTCCAGCGGTTGCTGAGATATAAGCCTCTCAAAAGCGTTACAGGCCGGTTCGGGCCGGGCCGCTCATACTGAGATTTTTCCGTTATATTGAAAAGACTTCGCTTCGCTCGCTGCGCTCGCTCGCTCGTAACCACGCAGTCTGCTGAGGGCTGTACCTACACTCTTGATTCGTCAATAACTCTCCCTTTGTTTTTAAGGCCATTTTTAGCACCATTCGTCATTTGAAGCTCTACCTATAGCCTAAAGTTATTTGTTTTTTTTTTCTTGATCTTCGGGTACTTACCCTTCTAACGCCAGGATCAAATAATAAATAGGTATGCACGCCAATAATTCTAACGCAGCCATGTCTAGGTAATCATATCTATCTCGTGTATCTCGTGAATAATAAATGCCTAACGGATGACTGCGGTAACGCACTGCTTTCGAGTAGACTTTCGAGCTGCTGGCGATCAAAGCGTCTCGCTGTGGCATGCAGGACTCTGCTTATCACATCCGTCTCATCAATTCTCTGTGCTGCTGTCTTTCAGGTCGTGATGGTGGACTACGTGAAACCAGACTTTCAGTTTGAAAATGGATCCTATGATCCCATATTGGAAGAACCCATACGCAAACTTATGGCGGATAATTCATATCACCTTGTCCACAGACTAGATACTGATCTTATATTTGTTAAAAGCGGCAGTGAATATGACACAACTGTCCATACCTGACGTTTCGTGTGCATTTCGTATGCTTGTGAAATGCGATGTTCTATCATGTATGACGAATAAATATTGCGACGCAGTCTTAACACTCGCACCGACGGGGGTTTGCGCCAACTTCGTACCGACGGGGGGGGGGGGCGGATGACCGCCCCCCCCCCCCTGAGATCTCGAGAACGAAGCAAGATAGCGACAAGCGGTAAACGGCAAAAGATACGCACGGACAAGGTCTACAATTTTTACTAAGGTCATTTTCAGGTCAGGTCAAAGATGACGTCACAGGGGTCAAAAAAGTCAAAATGGCGGCGCTAGGTATGGAGTTTTTTTTCTCGAATAACTTTCGAATTAGTCAATATAGGAGCAAACTAAGGGCAGCATCGTGATCCTCTCGTCAATCCGCATCGAATTATATAAATGTTGACCTCGAAAGGTCAAGGTCAAAGGTTGACCTCAGGTCACGTGACCTCGAGCTCATCATGTATATCATTCGATGTGCCTTGACGAGCTGAACACAATTAGACCATCCGCGCGGCTGTATCTTGTTCCTGTACGGAGTTATTGTCAAAAAACGCTGGTGACCTTTGATGACGTCACATGACCTTACAGCTGCCCAACAGCAAAACAGACCTCAAGGTAGTGAAGGTTGATCGTATATGAGGTCATGTATGGTTTATGGGGCCATTCCGACCCGTTTTAGTGGTAAAAACAGGGAGTTGATTTTTCCCCCATTGACATAATGGGGAGGTCGAGAAATTGACCTGACCTTAGGTCATCGATATCAAAATTCCGAGGTAAACAAATTGTAGCTACTAATGAGCTTATAACATCCTGCGACTTTCAAAGGTCTCCGACATCTACTGTAGCTCTGCCACCAGCCACGGTAACAAATTCGCAAAAAAGTGACTTGAGGTCGGGTCATTCAAAGTGACCTGGTGACCTGACCTTAAAAGTTAGGAGGTTCAAACTTGCACACCATGTGTAAAATTGATGAGAGGATTGTCATACCAAATTTCGCGGCGCGTAGCGCCGCGGTTTTCCCGCTATTCGCGAAAAACCTCAGGGGGGCGGATATCCGCCCCCCGTCGGTGCGCGTTATGCGTACCTACACATTTTATCTTGGAAATAAAAATAAAATAGGTAGTTGGTAGGGACCTATCAGGAAACATATCGGTTTTAAACAAATAATGTATGCCTAAGTTGATCCCAACCAGTTAGGCTCATAACGCCACAAATTGCCAGCAAGTGCAGATTTCCTATACCTGTGGTGTTTCCAGGGTATCGAGATGTGTTATCGCGGGCGAAGAAGTTTCACATCCTGTCTACACTGCCGAATTTTGGCCACGACCCTGTCGCCGAATCACGTCGTGTAGGAAATCGGCGAACAGTTTACCGACAGAGGCGAACAGTTCGCCGACAGAGCCCGATTTGCAGAAAACGGGTGTGGGGCCCCCCTAATCGTGCGCGGGTCGAAGCTGATCCATGATTCGGCGAACATCGCGAATGAATGGCGAATCTGTTGCGAATAGTCGGCGATACCTTGGCAACAAGTCGGCGCACGCTGCGACATGTCGGCGGCGACTCGGCGACTGTTTGGCGATCATGTTTGTTTATTATAAGTTCGGCGAACGGCCACGAAATTTTCATTTTTCATGAAATATTCGTGGCGGTCGTGATGTACCGTAAAAGTCGCGCGGTGGACAACGACTGGTCTGCGAAATGCCAAGACCGTGGAAGAAAGATCCCGAATGGGTCCGCGACATAGGATGACTTGCATATTCGTGCACATTCGTGTACCAAAATTCGGCAGTGTAACAAGGGCTTTAGAGCAGCGCTGCGGGGTGGGGGGGGGGGGGTCGGTCACTTATCCGGACCCTGCTCTGCTTCGGTGGCTCGGCTGCTCTCGCACCAAAGCAAGGAGATCTAGGTCTCATTACGCCTCACCTCCCCCAACAAAAATAAAATAAAAATCCTTAGACATGAGGCACTAGCACCATCGAAAAGACAACAGCAGTGTGTCGAGCGACACCTAGCCGAAGAGCACACAGCTACTGTCCGTCTCACCTCAGTTCGAGCGACCAGCACCAGATGGCAGCGTTGACCTCGCCCACTGCCCTCCGATCGCTCAATGCCTGGTCTATGCCAGAATCTAGAGTCCGAAGTTTAACGTATGTCCTCTGTAGCTGCGCACGGCCGATCCCCTCACTCTTCGACTGGCTATACGGCCTGCCACCAACCGACACCATACCCGACAGGAGGCTCATACATCGAACTATCGAGCTCCCGTCGCGCTTCGGACCCCGGACTTTCGTAACATACACTGGTCCGTATATATTGGTCCTGGAGAACCACACCATGGCTTTTTCAATGGTCCTGGAGCACCACAATATTACCTTTCGAACAGCCCTCAGACAGACAGCTAGCTCGCCTTTCCAATGACCCATAAACAAATGCATTTATACCCACTGTGCTGATGGAAATGAGATGAGCACTGCGAACAAGAAACGCATCAGCCCGACTAACCACACAGCATTTCGAATAGACTTTGTTCTCAGAGTAAGACCCTCTATCGCTCAAATCTCAACATACTAGTAGCTTATCCCTGCCAGCTTCTACGTAGCCACGATTTCACAAGCCAATCATTAAAATGTAGCAGCGCTGCATGTCATCTTAAAATGCAAATGGTCATAATGCTGAGCGTATAAAGCAGAAGGGTTTGAGCGAACATGGGCTGGCAGTACGAGGGGCAGCCTTATTACATAATCTGCGGGCCCACAGGTGACCGACATAGGAGAGTCCCCAAGGCCACCTCGCTACCAGTCGGGCACGTGACACCTGATGCACGTTACTTATACGGGGCCGATAGGACGACACCAGAGGTCACCAATGGCGACCCGAGCGTCGCCGACTGAGCGCGCCGGTTCTAGCGCAATTTTTGTTGCCACGCTGGCCCAGAGTGGATTTAAGGAAATAGTTCACTTTTAACATGGGGTTTTGAACTGGAATAGCAGTTTCGTAGCTTGAGCTGAGGCTATAGCACAAATCAGGAGCTTTTATCGGGCAAACGATCACCCTATAGGTAATAGGTATTCCATTTCCCGTTCCGCGTAAAGAGTGCCTTGCAGAAAAATGAGTGCCTTGCTGAGGAACGCAGCCACGTCATCTTCAGCCAATCAGCATGCTGCTCACAGCCAATGCAGCATGCGTAGGTTGGTTTGAACAGGAAGTTTCCGCGTCAAATATTTTCTATATAGAACATAGAAAAAATCCTTTTAAAAATACAGAAAATAATCCTTTTGTAAAAAAGTTTCATTTTATTTTCTGATCATTTTAAGCACAAAAAGCATAAATCCATAGCAAAAACTATTTTCCGGTAAGTGAACTATTTCCTTTAACCCTCGCCCATGTAGGGGGGGGGGTGCAACCCCCCCCCTGAGGTTTTTCTTAGCTACACGCCGAACCGTTTCAGATAGCCTGCTCAAATTTTCAGTACCCTTTGGGGCATCCTTTGCGCAACTTTTGGTAAAAAAAAATTTGTCAAGGTCATGTCAGGTCACGGAGTTATGACGTCATAAAGGGAACAACCTCCGGCCAGATTTACGCTAAATTGGAGATTGCTTCACATTGGTATAAATGCCGACTGACCTGACACACTGATGGATTGTTTTAGAATCACAACTGGCTGATTTGACATTGGCACAATGTCCGTTGACATTTTGAAGGTTACTAAGGGTCAAGGTCAGGTCAGTGCCCTCAGTTGACCTGTAATGACTTCTTGCACTTGTATGCCTTTTCGGGGTATTTTGATGCCCTGAATTCGAATTTGCTATCCATTTCAGGCATCGTCGGTTGTTTCTTGTAGTTCATTTTGGGTCAGGGTCAGGTCAGTGACGTCACACGCCTGACGTGACCCAATGCACAAATAACCTTGCAGACTTCCGATGCTCCCAACGCATCATTTTTAGAGTTATGACATCGAAATATACTATACACCAAACGATAGAGAATTGATCAAGGATCACGATAGTGAAGGTTTCAAGTCGATATCTCTTACCGTTTTGCCGCAATCGGCGCGGAAATCTGAAAAAAGTTAAGATTTTTCCGAAAATTTGACCTTTGACCGGTCATAAGTAGGTCAAATGTTGACCTAGGACCAAAAAATATACCACCAATCGCGAAATCTCGTTGAGAGCAATCCGTTGGTCTTTTCCGCTAAGCTCTACGACGCTCCGTTTTCAAACGCCAGGGGGGTCGCACCAACCCCCCCCCTGCATGGGCGAAGGTGGCAAAACACCGTTTACGGGCGAGGGTTAAGTGAGCCAGTCGAGTCAGGGAGACTTCGCAAACAGTGGAGCGCGCGGTTCCAGAGTTTGGGAAGGCTTCCTCGCTCGACCTCACGAGCGAGTCGGGTCAGGGAGACTAATATAGGTATCGAGTAATGGAGTAGCCTTGGACCAGCGAGCTTAGGCGTGTACTCGTAGCTACATATATCGGCTTGACGTTTTTTGTAGAAATGGTTTGCAAGTTGATCCAAAACTTTTTAGATATACCTACTCATTTTATTGACCCAACTACAGGACTTTTTCGTCACAAAAGGTAAATGTTTGAAGGAAAAATAGTTAACAAGCAAATTGCATATACCTAAAGACGTCAAAAGACTCGTCAACATCATCTCTTATAAATGGTTATCTCGGAATATCCCAAAATTGTTTTATTCATCCCCAAAACAAAAAAGCGGCTGTTCGATTTATGTAAAAAATATAAGATTTGCAAATTTTCAAAAAAAAAAAAACACTAACAAAATGTGCCTACGTACGAGTATGTACATAATTGTACATCGGGTGTGCTAAGTTTCACCTTTCAAGGGTTTTAACCCGGCACCGCCTGGGCTATTTCCGTACCCACGACAGCCTGGGGGGGGTCGAATCCGACCCCCCCCTGTTATCTCGAGAACCAATGGTCGTATCGAGCCCCGCGAGGCGGCGTTCGAAAGGTCTCTACGAGACCTTCCCAAAGCACTCTTAAGATTTTAAGATTGAGGTCAACTTTCGGGTCAAGGTCAGGTCAAAGGTCAAATTCAGGGGTTTTGCAT